AGTCCAGTTCCTTGCTTTCTTTGCTGAATGTGCTGTAGCATGACATAAAACCCTAGTTGTAAGCAGAATTTTAAAAGGTGTTGAACAGGTTGCTAGTATTGAAAATGAGCACTTTTGTTCCCACACTGGTGTGAAATCTGAGATGTGTTGCAGGAAAGAGCAGGCTACTCATGGCAGATGTGAAAACCTACATCTTAGAGCCTCTGTGGTTATGACAGACGGACGTGAACTCTATTAGTATGCTGTATGTATAAATATTACATCCTGTGTTCTTAAATAGGTATAAGAATAAGGCACTAGTTCATAACCATGTCATGTTTTGTTTTTATATGCTCAGTTTTCTCAGTAGATGCAGCATTGCAATTTCACGGCTCCTGTTTGGGGAGAGATGGACATTTTTGTACAATATTGAGGGAAAATTAAATTCCTGATTAAATTTAGTGTGTCACTGAGATACCTACTGTTTGTGAAGAAAATGAAAGCTTTATGGAGCATTGAAGTGTTCTTAACAGCCTTTGAGCAATGCAAGTGCAGTAAAGATGGAGGCCTTTCTCTTTCTTGCTCTCATTTTCAATTCTGCTTGGGTATCACAGACTGACATAGACTATCCTTTTTCTTAATAATAAACAAACAGAAAGGGTCCTTTTGTGATTAAAATCATGTGTGAATAATACTGCACTGCATTCCCGTGGTGCAGCTTTTGTTCTTTTTCTCACTATCTTGGGGTATAACAGCATAAAAAATAATCATGCTTTATTTTAGTAAATACGTTGTTTTGTTGAATTTATTTAAATGTAGATATTATGTAAGATAGGTGAGGCAGGTGAAAGAAATGTGTTTTGCTCATGAAATGGAAAATGGCAGCATTTTTCATTGTCCTTGATCCTGCAGGTTTCTTTCCCAATCTTTCATAACCTCTGAAGAAATCTTTCTCTCATGTAACAGAATTTCTGGGTTCACAATAGAGAGATCTCGCTGTTAAGAGTGAAATTTCAGGTTGTCCTCTGACAGGTGCAGTCAACCTAGTGGATGTTCTGGGCCCAGGCCTCTTAGTATCTCTAATAATCTTCAAATATGTAAGAATCTGCAGTAGGAAAGAATGAAATACTCTGTTCTCCATTTTGACCAAGTTGGAAAGGGTATATATTGCAGGTATATATATAAGAGACTTAAGTTAGGCATCAGTAAGGTACTAACACCAAGGATGAATTGCCTGAAGAGACTGCAGGATCCCTTTCAATGGGAGGTTTTAGGTACAGGTTAGGCAAATGTATGTTAGAAGTAACACTTGTATAAATTAACCATGTATGTGGATAGATGGACTACATAAGCTGAAGAGATCCTGTATTCTGTAATTAAGAAAGCTTAAACACACAAAGGGTTTTTTAAGCATTTACTGAAGGAAGAAGGAGGATAGCTCTGAGGGATCCCAGTCGTCAAGGGGATATGGAACAGCATAGCACCAAGCAGTTGGACTGCCTGAGCCCACTGATGCAAGAGTCTGAGGAGCAAATCTAGCAGATTTCTTCTGATCTGTCTATGGCATGAGCTCTTCTACTTTGAATGCTTTCAAGAAACCTGCTGTTACTTGCGCATACACGCACACGTACACAGAGGCGCACACATGGATGGCACAGTAGAACAGTGGTATGGTCTATTCTAATCTATTTTAATTAGAAAAAGCCTATTAGAAAATTGACTGGAGTTTGACATTAGTGCATGAAAAGTAAGATTTATTACCATTACCAAACAAAAGGCTCAGAAGACTTGTTTGGTGCCAGTAATTTTATTATTATTATTTATTTTCTAATATAAACATCAATTTGAATCTAAGCAATATTCAAATACTTATTTCTAATGTCATATATAGATTTAAAAGCAATCAAAAAATAACCACTCAGGAGAAGAATTTGATGATGAGCTGTAAAACCATTCAAAGTCCTCCTTAATAATCTGTATGATTTTTTTAAAATGGCCTTCACCTGGCCCCTCAGACCCGTGATTAAAAATGTACACATAGGAGACTCACAAACTTGGAGGTTTAGTTTTGATTTATTTAATATTTTTTTTTTCAGAGAGAAAAAAATACTATTTTCACCCTTTTATATTGTTCTGGTTTTCTGTGTGTGGATTTAAAAGGCCCCCTATGCTATTTGTAGTCATGCTGTTAAGCTGTATGTGAAACAATTAATCTGTTACAACTGTCAAAGACAAATGTGTAATTATAAATGATCTGTGTGAATGAGTGCAGTAAATTAGATTTGTGCAGTTCTGTATTTTAGTGCTGGTATATTAGCAGTGGTCTTACTAGTGGTACTATGTGCCGCTCATAGTGAGAAGCAGTCAGTCAAACTGCAGAGCTTGACAAGCTCTACATAACAAGGATTTAAACCTTATACAAATTTCAGCTGCAACACAGAAGTCAAGAAACCTTGAATATGTTCTCCAAATTTATGTGGAACAGGATTTAAAGCTAGATTAGGGGCTCCAGTCAGAGTTATGTTGTCCGCCACTTTCCATGTTCCTGGAACATAAACCCCGAGGAATTGCTACCATTAAATTTTCTGGTATTAAAGAAACTTAAGGCATCTGTTGCACCTGCCTTTTTTATTGTTGTTTTGTTTTGTTTTGTTTTTTCTCTCCTTGTGATACTCTTTAGATTTTATATAGCTTTTGGCCTTAAATTTTAAGCCGGTTAAAAGGGCTGTAGGGCTGTTTTATGACTTATGACATGTGTGGTAGAGGTACAGTGGGCTCCTTTTAATGAAACATCTCTTGCTGCCTCCATGTGTGCTGGCCCAGCCTTGAAGGCTACTGTGGTTCCTGCTGGTCCAGTGACCCTGTAGCTCTCTCTAGTTGTTCACACAGCAAAGAAGATGGGAGTTACTCACAGGAGCGATGACATAAAATAATTTGTACTGAGTGGCAGCTCGGATGCTTATTATTACAATTATCCCCAAAATGTGGACCTGGGACTATTCCCAGTGAGTAGAATGGCTGTAGTTTTCCTGGTTTGGGAGGAAAAAGAATACTAATGTTGCAAGCCATGCTGGGCCACGTCCCCTGCTCTTAGAGGCTTGAGAACAAGCCCCAGCTCTGTTTGACTCTCTGGTATGGGAGTAGCTTTGCTATGTTGCTGCCATGGTGATATGCTCAGTGCTTGGAAGAAGCTGCATCAGTTTCTGCAAATACACTTACAAAACTGTAAAAAACTGCATGAGACTATGATCATCTTGGCAAGAGTGCTAGCCCTCCTGACGAAGAAATGCCATAAAGCAGTGTCCCAGATCTGAATACCTCTTTATCTTTGACACTTCGTTTGTCTTGCCAGTAGTATGAGGCAACAAGGCAATGTTTTAACATTTTTCTCTTAAGTTCTACTGTGCATCTGACTGCAGCCTTAGTTCTGGACACCCAAATGCAATCATTTCTAATTCTTTTCATATGTTGCCATGATTATACCGAGTATCAGAAAAAAAAAAAAGTCCAAATTTGATTTGTTTCAAAAATAGGCCTTGTGAATGGTTGAAGATGACTTTCCTATGCTGCATTCTTGGAAGATTTTAGGTAATTTATTAGAAAGCACAAACATGAATATATATTTCAAATGTATAAAAGTGTCTAATATGCATTGCATTTAAAATATGCCTATAACTTAAGCAGCTTATTCTGTGTTACAGTTGGGTAAAAGGATTAATTTCTCACCAAATTTCTGAATATTTGTTCCTGGTTTTTTGAAGGAGTAGTTTGCTGCATTTTAGATTTTCATAGACTGAAATAAAGTACTTATATCTTATTTGTTCTGAAAGGCATAAGCTTGTTTCTTCTGGGATGTGCATTAGTTTGCAAGTTTTGGAAGCCTATTTAAAGTAGTTTTTTTATGTATATGGGAAAATGTTCCTATTACTCTGAAACTTATTATATCTTAAACAAAATGTCAGGAGCAATGCAAATACTATAAAGTTGCTTTTCAGCTGCAAAGATGACATTGCTTTGTTTCCCTTACACTTTTCCTACTTTCTCACTTACCCATTCCTTTATAAAGCTTTTCTTCTTTACGTGACATTTTAATTACAGGGTGATAATTAAAATTAAGAAAATAACTATGGCAACAGAAGTTAGACTTTTATGTTTTTATTTATAGTGTGTTTTTTTGCACACATTATAGTTGTTTGAATATTTGGTTTCAGAAAAAAATATTGTTTCATGCAGCTATGTAAATTGCATGCCAGGAGATTGTAGAGGTTTCACCTTTTTCTGTGGCTTTACGTGATTGCATCTGATTTGGTACTGAAGGATTTCATATTGTAGAATAAAATAGTGCTGTGCTGTGTTTTAATATTTAATCTGAGATTATTAAGATGCAGATGATGAGGGCATTGATGCAGAGGGTATTGCCTGTCATGCTAAGCAACAGTCACCCATTTTTTCCTTCAATCCCATCTATCATCTGTGAATTATTTTTCCGTATAAGTACTTTAGGGCAAGGACTTGCCAAAGTGTCTCAGTTACTGTGGCAGTCATAGTAACAATGTCAGTTACTTTGTGTAGCAATAAAAAAAGCCTTTGTTCTTCATTCTGCTCGCAATGACATGTTTTATTTCAGCCAAACACAACAAAACTCTCAAGACTTTTGGGTGCCATCCTAAGTGCATACTTTACCTATGAGGCTCAACCAGAAAATATGTAGTTAATGTAAGAATCATTATTTTAATGCACAATGCTTTCCTTGTGTTACAAACAGAAAACAGTTTGAATTATGGATCTTATTTTTGACATGAATTATTTAACAGAGTCTCAGAGATTTAAAATACATCTCAAGGTGATACGTGAAAGACAATTTTGAGAGTGTTTTCATGCTGAGGTGTGTTTCATGTTGACAGCTATGGCAGTAAGATCTTCAGAGAATTTCAGATCTTATGTAAAAGATTTAGAGTCTCAGGTCATTGACTGGAATGTGCTCACACCATTAAAACTTTTTTAATCTTAATCTCTTTCAGTCCCAGCAAAGATGCATTGTGATCTTTGCACTGGTATGCTGCTTTGCAATTCTGGTTGCACTGATATTTTCGGCAGTGGATATTATGGGAGAAGATGAGGATGGACTCTCAGAAAAGAACTGTCAAAATAACTGTCGGTAAGAGGTAACAAACAAAACTTCTCTTTTGGGGTGGATAAGAACATGTGTGTGTTATAATGGCATGTAGTAATTACCATAGTCCTGTAATTGGGAAGAGTAGGCAAAAGGAAGAAACAGTTTCTCATTTTGAATTTCTGGCTTTGGAAGTTGGTTTGGCAAAACAGAGCACGCTTTTTGGAGTTGTTTTTGGTGGTTTGTTTTGAACAAGACCCTTGTGTTAGTACAATTATTTTGTAAGCCTGGGTCAAAGCCCATTAAACTTCAGTAAATGAGTACTGGGGTGGCTCGCGTAGTTCCCTATTCTGTCATGTCTGTCGTTCATTAAGAGCTGCTTTCTTTTTTCTTCAAGAAGGTCACTGACCTCTGCTGACCTTAGACTAATGTTCCTTTTATATAGGGGGACATTTTACATATTCCTGTTTTCTGCACTCCCCTAAGAGACACAGTTGCTTGCCTAGAAACTGTGAAGAAAATTAGTAATATGGTCAGAAAGACTGGAGCACTGGCTATGTGGAGTTCAGATTTGCCTCTGACACCTCCACAGTTATGTATATCTTTTAACTTTAGATTTCAGTAGGTGATGAGATTTTGGGGACCTTTCATTTCCAGACTCTGAAGTTCATTTTGCTGCTCCTCACTATTAGGTTCCTTCATGAATTTGTTCATCAGCGATGACCAATGCTTTTTCTGCATGGTGTTGTCCAAGGTCACCTTCTGTCCACCAGTAAAGCTGATTTAACAAACATTTGCAGGCTTCATTCACAAGTGGATTGTTTTTGGTTTGGTTTCTTTTTGTTTTGTTTTCTTTTTTTTCCCCAAGGCTTTTTCTTGTATATAGAGCACCCTCTCTGATTCATTTTGAGGGAAAACCCAGGCATCCTTAAATAGCTTCTCAGAAATCCATTCTAATCTAATCAGGGAATTGCTGGAGTTGGAAGGGGCTGCAGTTCTGGTCATCCTCCAGTCCATGACCCTGTTCAGAGCAGGTTTAGCTACAGCAGCTTGCTTGAGGATGTGCAATGTTGGGCTTTGCGTAGCTCCAAGTATGGACTCCATAGCCTTCCTGGGCCACCTGTTCCATTGTTGGTTCATAGTCAGCCAAGCTACCAATGGCTGGGTATGTAGTGATTTGGACATAATTTATATGTATTTTTTTACAATAATCTAATGAAATATTAATGTTCCTTTGAAATAAGGAGAACAGTCTTCTTATTTCTGCTATTCCTTGTTGATTTTGTGTAAAAACTCTTTGGGGGCATTGCCCTTTTAAGTTGCCTTGTCACAGTGCAGTCAGCAGCAATTCACAATCCAGCAAATTGGATTATGGTTTTGCAGTAATATTGGATTTTGCAGTATTTTTTACATGCTGCCGCCTTTTTTTTTTCTTTTTTTTTTTTTTGAGAGGGTTGATTCTTTAACTCTGTAGCTCCTTTCAAACAGGACACACCTGCAGCATGGGGTAGCTTTGCCCTAAAGCCAGCTATCCTTCTGGCACCATTTTTTGTTTTTCCTCAACATTGCTTTGCATTTGTAAAATGGCTTGGCCCTAATCTGTTCACTCTTTTGTATGCCTACAGTTCTGGGCAGCCTTCTGGTATCTTGTCTGCATTTTCTACATTTTTTCCAGCTAGCCTGCCTTTCCACATCAGGGCCTTAGGTATTCTTCACTGTGAGTTGTTGCCTTCCAAAATTTTTGAAGATACTGCATGTATCACCTTTACACCCACTATCTCCATGTGTGAATCTTTGACAGAACTAGGTCAGATGAGGGGAAAGTTTTTCTGCTCATTGGCTTCTGAGTGCTGCACACAACTTCAGCACACACAAGAACTACTGCACCATGTTTTCCTCTTAGTTGTATCAACTAATGGCTCCCTTTTTGTTCTCTTTGGCTGCACAGGCCTAGTCAATGAAGAACTTGGGCTTCTTTACTTTGTATTCTTCAAACGGTAAACAATTTCAGAGTGGGGGCAATGTACAGTGCTATGGAAAACCAAGATACTATTTTATCCCAGCATAGGAGATTGTCTGTTTGTATGGGTTACACCCATCTGCCTTTCCAAAGACTACTCACCTTTGCTTAGCTTTTTCTTCATTGGTGTGTGTCACTCTTGTCTCTCCTGGACTGTTACAGGAGCCCGGGAGAAAATCCAGCTTTAAAAGTAGGAGTCAGTTAAATTGGTCTGCACTTACAGTGATAAAAGTGATCTCAGACCCCAGCTCTATTTTAAGGTGCCTTTCACAGAGCGATTCAAGTCCATGATCTAGCTACTAATGCCTGAACCAGAAGGCACATCAACGCTCTGTGTATAAACTGCCTAAACCTTTTCTAATAACAGTATCCGAGTGTTGGCAGCTGCTACCTGCTAACATTGGATCCTTCTCTGCATGATGAACCTGGGCTCCTTTATGTGTTTAATATATTGCAGACTTAAGTGCTGCAAGATCAATTTCTGCCTGTGGTATATATTTAGTACTTGGGGTAAGCACTTCCAATATGTAAGCCAAGAATAATTGAATACTTATATTTCTGCTGTGTGAGTACTTTCACTGAAATTCAGGAACAGGCACTTAGGTTTGGAGGATATGTTAAGACAGAACTGTAATAGATGGTCGTACTTTGGTTTTGTTAGATGAAATGATTGTCAAATAAAACTTTATGATATGTGAATCCTTTTTTAATCGATCAAATTTGTGAAGAAGCTTGATGGGAAGGGAGGCTATTGATTAGAGAAAAACTTCACTGATGATTTGTTAAAGGTTTTCGTCTTCTGAAAATCAATTTAATTTCTGTCTTTTTATTTTAAAGGAAAATATGTCTGAAATAGAGCTGTAGTCTTTGGCTAGAAATTTTTCAAGCTTGTGCCAAAAAATAGCAAGTGAGAATTTTTTAAAGGAGGAGAGAGAAAGAGAAAGTAAAAGGAAGACACTTTTAGCAGTCTAGAGGTTTTTGTAGCCTGAGAGAAGAATCACTGAGGTATGTTTTCCAGTAAAGCCTACATCTTTTTTTGTTGTGACTGTACTGTTGTTCATGGATACAAATGCAGTCTTTCTGATCTGCTTCTGGTAGTTCAACATGATGTTCCTATTCTGTTAATCATTCCTTAACTCTTATTACATAAGGAATACTTACTGCATATGTTGCCCAAAAGACCTTACTCTTCACTGATGTATTTTATTTCTCTCAGGGTTTTGTACCAAAAACAAGTCATGGAAGTGGAAAAGCAGCCTGTTTCGCATGTCTTCTTTGGTTGTTGACACCCATCTAAAAAGTTGCATAGGAAATGGCACTTTTTAAAGAAACTGTTTGAAAGCAAAATTGTGATTTGTAATCTTTAAGCTGCTCACTGAAATAATCAGTCAGTGGTTGAGAACTGACATGCATCTGCCTTACAGGTCATTTGTGACTGTCACAATGTGAAGTCATATTGCTGTAGGCTGCAAACCATTTCCCATTTTATTTGTTAGAGAGAGGAACTTGATATTTAGTAACACTGAGTAGAATATTCAAGAGGAACTTGAATATGTGAAATTTAAATAATAATTTTTTTTTTCATTTGAAATATAGATACAGAAACTTAATTTTTTTAGCCTCCTTTACATGCTGTAATCCAAAAAATAAAAATAGGTAATTTAAAATAATTTGCGTCCCTATCCTAATAATTGAGGGCAAATATTAGGACAAATAAATGTTCTTGTAAGATTAACTACCAGGCACCTCTGGAAAAATTACTGTATCTTCTACTGATACATACATTGCAATGCAAATAAAGGTGAGGGAAGGTCTGTAGAATTTATCAGGCACACAAATTTTGGCTTCAGAATTGCAGTCAGAATTGGGAAACTATTGGTTTAGGTGCAATAATGTTGTTTGTACTTATTTACACTGTCACATATAACTTTCAAACTGTGATCTTATATGTGAAGAGACTGGCTGACTAAAAGTAGACTTTTTAATTTATTTTTTTACGACTGTACCAGTTCTGCTGAGAGGCAGCATTTCACTTCAGAGGGTGCTGCACATTCTTGGCTTCCTTCCACAAAATTTGATTTCAGAATGCTGGACTTAAAAAATACAAATGGTTTTTGACTCTTCCTATTGAAAGGAGTGTCAACCAATTGACATTTAAAGAATAAAAAAGCAGTAATGACTGTGAAAAGCTTTTGCACTTCATGTTTGGTTGGGTTACAAATAATTCTCTTGAGACATCCACATTAATGTTATTAGGCAGTCCTGATGAATGAGACTGCTTAAGAGGATACGCTTAGAAGTCTGGGAATTTTGCCTGTCTTGCTGTGGATCCATTACATGCTGCAGCTATAAAATTAGATTATTGTACTTTGGAAATAGTACTTTTTAATGGCTGATCTGTTGTGAATAAATCTTGGCCTCTGATATAACGTCAGTCAAGGCTTACTTAGCATTGTTGAAACTGGCTGATAAACTAAAAATAACAATCTGGGAAACAAAAGTCATTACAGCTAGTAAGAGATGGTCTCTGTTACCCAAATTGTTTGCAGCAAGGTTCAGCATGCCTCTTCTGCTTGTTCCTGCTGATAGTCATACTAGAGTCCTACAGAGCTTCCACATGCCCTTAATTATCCTCATCTCACTGGTTTTTGCAATATGAATCTAAGCAGTAGTAGCAGGTAGCATAGCTCCTGCCTCTAGCTATGGATTTGGTAAGGTGGGAAAGGAAGCAATGGTAGCTGCTTTCCACAGTTCCCATGTTAGGGTGTACAAAAACTGTTGTCATAATGATTTTCTTTTTTCTTTTTTCCTTTTTCTGGTGATAATGGGAGTATTTTCTTGAAGTGTGTGTGTGCGTGTGTGTTCAAAAAGGATTCTGTCTTGCATTCTGCTCCAGTGACACAGTTTTGCTATTTTGATATTTCTCTTGTTCTCAGAGTAATACAGAATGAAGGCATTTGTCCTTTTCTGTTTGGATTTCTGTTGAAGGAATTTGCTTATCTGCATAATATGAACAGCAAAGCTA